CTACCATAATCATCAAGAACTAGGTAATAAAATGAGCATCTGAGCGTTATGTACCAGTTAACTGGACATTGGACATCGGATCGCTGAATTTGTTTAACACGATCAGAGGAAGTATTCAAAGTTTTGTTGTTCGCGGGTGTCAGCTGGCATATCGCGATTCTGCTGCTTGTGAATATGGCACTTAGTTTTGTCAAAAATGATTCCTTTTTGTACGACGATGCTGACTTCGCAGATTTCCAACTATTTCACTTCAGACTGACTGATTCGGCTTTACGAGACTTGGAATTATTGGCAGGCACACCCGTAAGAATTCTTCTTTTCCATGGAATTTTTCCCTACAGAGCGGAGGAAAGTTACAGCTTTCCGTAGCAGGATCAAAAAATGTAACTAAATGTTTATGAATCATTTGCCTGTAGTCATTCGTTATCCCTCTCGCAGATCGCCGGAGTACTTTTACGTTTACGATCACTAATCTAAACAGCTCAAGCGATGGATCTTTCGATTGCTTACGTATATGCAGGTTAGTTTCTTAGACGCAAATGTGGATCCACTTTCAAGGGGTCGCATACGATGTCTCGGAAAAGTGAACTGCAGATTCACCGTGAATGCCAAAGAAGACAGCTTCTCTATGGCCCGCGAAAAGATGGCCCAGTTAGGAGATGAGTCTCGGCGTTCTCAAACAAAAGAGATTAATTCCTATAAGAAGCATCCGAGAAGGTTTGGCACTTACGCTACCGATTTCAAGAAGCGTGTTGATCCTCAAGGAGTATCTGGACAATCGGATACTCGGTCTTCATCCTTCATCGATTCGACCAACTCCCGTGCTGTAGATTTTCCCGTCAATCGCTATTCAGGTTCCAGTTCTACCCTTGGCCCTAGCTCTTTAGCTGCGTCCCCAGCGGTATGCAGCCGTTCCCTGAGGTACGTTTTACTGTACCATAAAGTGCATCTTTTTACGGTATCTACATTAAGATTAATGAGGCCCTCCATTACATAATCACTTCTATCCTCAGTGTTCAGTAATCTTGGAAAGCGTATCAGTATTTGGTCTGATTGGGGTTGAGGCTTTTACAGCATTATGTTGAACTGTTTCTATAGCCTACTCCCCATTTTCGTTGCAACTTACTCTGATGAATAGCGGATGGGGTAAGGCACAAATGTATCGACCAACCAAGTCTCAATTTATTGGATTCTTTGATTGATACTGAGGATTAGTTTTGCTGGTTGGGAGTCGCTCGAGGCACTGAGTTATCTGGTTGAGTGTTGCTGACAAGATTGTGTTTACTCATTTTCTAAGCAAAACCTAGTTTACTTGGTTTTTATAGCTCTCAACGCTTCTGTTTGAACCTTCCCCTCCACCAAATGGGTAGTCGAAAGAGCGCCTTTCCCTTGCCTANCCCGGTTAAAAAAAACAGTCGCTCTCAAGAAGTGCTTGGTTATGATGGCCTTCTTCCTGTACCATCTTCAGAGGCCAGAATTCGTCGGGTTTGCAGGTAGTCATCTTGAGGGAGGTTAATGTCTCATCATAATCTCAAAAGGACTGGTATAAGTTGGGCAACAAAGCAGTATTCCCCAAGCAAGTTGCAAGGGTGTTCTTACCTAATTTGCTTGATATTCTAAGCCCAGACATAGAAATTGCTCAAGTTATCCGAAGTATGAGTACTCTCGCGGGGAACAGAATGCTTCGTGCGTTAAGAGAACGGCACATGCGAGTGTCGTCATTTCAGCAACCCGTAGTTCTATTAAAAGGTTCTTTTATTTTGGTTATTCATGTGATGTTTTTACGCACCATAATTAGTACCCTCCCATCGCTACGCTCTTCATGTTTGGTTGCCACTTCCTTGTCACGTGGTTACTATGTATGTCAATTGCTTCTCCAGTCTGGAGGTCAGGGTCTCCCTTCGGTTTCCTGTTCTTGACTTCGGTTTTACCGGTATTANGGTAACTGATTCCCACATGTTATTTCGACGTTCTCCCTCCAGTGCGGCGCACCGTCGAGCTAACAACCAATAAATAAGAGTCGGTTGAATATATTTACCAGGTTTGCTTTTACACTCAACTGTTGAAGGCCATAATGTATTTTTTATTAAACATTTGAGTGATGAACAACGGACAAGGTGGACCTCAGTCGCGAAGACCTACCATTCAGTAATAAAACTTGCTTTATTCAATCTCCGGGACAAACCGTGGCAAACCAGGTAGAGTCCCAATATTTTGGGCGTGGCATTGGACCGAACTTGGGGAACGTGGTCTACCACCACTGTTGGATGGCGGTGCCGGTGTTCTAGTCTCAAACCATAGAATCTAATGCACGCTGGTGAGCCACCAAATCACTGCACCATCACCCCTACTGCGACTGAGGTCATTTGTTTGTTTGTTAGCAATAGTATAACTAACCTGGATACCCTCGGTTTAAGCAGAGCTGAATGCTACCAGGCGCGTCTCTGGATTGTGGATAGAGGGACACCTTCGCCGAAGGTTAACTGTGAATAAGTTGTGGTCTACCGCAAGAAGTAAGCAATCGCGAACAAAAGCGGCAGCACTACCAGGGTGTGGTGGGTTTCAGGCTCGTCACCTGGCTCCTGTTTAAAAGCCGCATAAGCTCAATGACAAAGGTCGATGTGACTGGTCTTGTAAAACTAGGGCCATTGACCCCCTCATTTCCGAGAAATGGGATTACTTCCTGTTGCCTTGTATTTCGCACTTGGTTGTGCAAGGGCTAGAGGTGCGTCCTCAAAATAATAAGAACATCGAGTGACGATGGGGACGTCTCGTACCAAACTCCCAAGGAACTTCATGATCATGTCTGGAGCCGGCTTATCCTTTCCAAGGAAGTGATGATAAGATAATGCTAGTATATTTTATCACACTATAGAGTAATGGAAAACCCAAGGGAAAACCTCATTCTCACTTGAACTTACTAACCATCCTTAAAAGCCGCCAACCTAAAC